CCCCCCCCCCGCCCCGACAAACCTGTTCTCCATGCAGAGTGCATCTATATCTAAAATGCGACTCTCATCATTCCCTATGATGTGATTCATTTCCACATTGAGACGATGAGCCTTCTGTTGAAACACATCTCGCTCTGCTCGAACATCCTGAAGCTCATCTGTGAGCGACTTCACGCTGTGCTCCAGCACCTCGTTCTACAGCGTCACAACAACACACAGTGTAAGTACACAGTAGTGACTTAATCTGCTAATAGCACTGGCTTTAATTTATCTTGTTTCATCTCAGGTGACCCTGAGCCTTCCCTTAGTTATGCTGCTATAGGAAAGACTCCTCTCCTCTCTCTCCATGCATCTATATGCCACCTTTACATGTCTTTAACTGTGTGTCTCCTCTCATTAACTGAAATTGGCTGAATGTGTTGAATAACTGTAATGAAAACCACCAGCAGTGAACCCCAGTCATCACCTGCTCTCTGGCTCTTTCTAACTGTCTGACCAGATCCTCTCGTTCATGTGCAGGAAAGTGTCGAGTGCCGACCTCCTCGCCTCCCAGCCTCTGTTTGGTGATGGTCATCCTTAGAAGCTGTAGAACAAAAAAGACCCAGCAGTAATCTGTCTCCAAGGTCTCCATTTCTTTCTGCACACATTACATATTATGATTTTTTTTTGTTGTTTTCTCTGATGGACTCATTTTGTTGCATTCAGATGAACCTTAATGGTTCTCACTTAAACCAGATAAAATGATTCATAATTGGCAAATACTGGATATGCTGGAGATATCCAAGAATACAAAGACAGGCAAAGTGAAATGAGAACACGTTGTGCACCAATTTGATATTCTACGTATCGCAGAATGTGTGACCTGGTACCTTGTTATCACCCTGAGCTTCCACCAGTCGTTGTTTCAGCTCCTTCACCTCCTCAGAAAGTTCATTACTCTTTTTTCTTGAATCTCTCAGTACCTGGGCTAAATTTACCTGAAGAAGACATGAGGTCACATTAGTCACATCACACAGGCTTAATTCAGATGTTAAATGAACATATTCTGGAGTTTTAAAGGTATACAGAACAAGGTTTTTAAGAACAAACTGTCTCTTGTGTTTAACTAAACACCTACAGGATGCTGCAGTGGTGATGAGCATCCCCATCAGCACTGCTAAATTTGTTCTGCTTGTCCAAATGAAACTATATTTGGCAGATACACCAGAAGGAACTGTTCTTCACCCACAGGCAGCAATCAATACAAACTTTTGGTTTGTATCTCTGCTCCACCCAGAGACAGCTGGAGTCACCAGGGTTTAATGCTGTCATCACACTGCCTAATACTGTGTATACACATTACTGATTTTACTGAATTTCTATCGTATTTGTGTGAACTTTAAGTACCACAGTATGTATTTGTCTTAGACAGTAATTCTCAAAGAGCATCAACAGGTTAGAATCACTTACTTGGGTCCTTTTCTCAGGAGGAAGAGAGGGATCTCCATCCTATCAGTTATAAAAACAAAGAAAATTGTCATCAAAAGCAACATCTGTAGAGTTTAAGAACAGACCATGGATAAGGACAGTTTTTATTCTCCATTTTGACGCCTCTTCAGGACTGTACTAGTTCAGCACACAGAGATGTCTTACAATGAGCTCTCTGTACTTCTTCTTCAGTCCTTGGTGCCGCTCGCGGAGCTGGTTAGCCATCAGCTTGTACTGATCCCTCTCCTGCTGACAGGTGTCCAGCTCTTTAGACAGAATCAGAAGAGCTTCTTTCTTGCTCTCCAGCTTCCGCTTGCAGATTATAAACTGTATATATAAGAAACAAGAACAGTATTGTTAAGTAATACTGAATGATTACTATGTAAGTCGTTCATTACACAATATAATGAAGCACTGCGACCAATATGATAAACATTAACTGTTACATTAAGTATAATATGAGACCTTCTTGTGATGAGTGTATTCATCATGACATCTATTAAGAGGAAAATCACCAGCTGATCATTATTTCATTATCAATTATATTTCTGATTAATCGTTTAGCCCATTAAATATCAGAAAATAGCAACACCAGTTCCCAGAAGCCCTGTATTCCAAAACAGAGAAAAGCAACAGCTCCTGACATGTAAGAAGATGGAATAGGTGAATGATTGTAAATGAAATGACCGTTCCATCATCAGGGCTGTTGTCAGGTTTCTGTTGATCGACTAATCAATTATTCATTTCAGCCCTACACTTGTATTTCATAATGATTCTGGTTGAATAATGACTAATATGGATTAATAAAGGCAACAACATTTTGTACCTTGTTTCACAATATAAAAACACACTTGTACTTAAAATATCAAAAGCAAATGTTTTCAATAGGCAGAATGTTCCCTGTCAGTTATAATATAATACTGGTGGATCATTATTAATGATAAATTAACATGTAAACAGTAAGTGTAATAAAGCATTCCATTTTATAGGACAATCATATGTAGCAGGCGTATGTTTTAACCTGCAGAGTAACAGTAGGCTACCTGCAGCTGCCAGACAGGGCTGCAACCATTATTAATGGAGTAAAAAAGCACAATATTTTTTTCTGAAGTTGCATGTTGGTACGTGTCATTAACATGTGATCTGCAGGTACAAAAAAAAAGGAGGGAGAAATACTGTATATACATGTACTTCCCTGCCTACAGATTATTCCCTACATGAAAAAAAAAAATCTGAGATTTAATCCTTTTTAACCCAGACCATTTCACTGTCTGCGGATCCAAATAAAACATGATAGAATTTAAAGAGTGTTAATACGGTACTTAGATGGCATTTAAGGCAGTACACTTCCACCCTGTTTTACTTCTTACCGTCTCCTTTGTGCGTCTTTACGCTCTCACCTCATTGACCAGCCCCTGCCAGTCATCCTCGCTCCTCCTGGATGGATCCATCTCGCCCCGTGTTGCAGAGAAAAAGGTTAATAGAGACACGAAGTAAGTATCCAGTAATCACAGTTGTGTTGGTTGTGCATCAAAATGGATTATGAGAGAAGCGCGATATACATCACTTCCGTCCGTCCCACGTCACAGACGCGTCGCGACGCATTGGATCGTCGTAAAACCGTAAATAGTGTGCGTACTTATTCCAGAAAGACTTGGTCTCAAATTCAGTAGTCTCAAAATAGTCATAAAGCCTGAATAAACACTAATATAATAAATAATATGTCAAAACACAGAGAAATATGCACAGAACAATGCAACAATGTCTGAGGTGGGAGAGAGATCTGACAAGTTAACCTCAAGAGGCTTTTACAGCTGCCTATCAGCAACGAATGGCCATAATAAATGTCTGGCTGACTGTTGGAAACCACTTCCAGGCCAGGTGATTTGGAACAAACACATCTTAAACTGTAACAGACCATATTTAAAAATATTTTAATCCTTTTATTGTTGTTCTATAAAATAAATCACATGGTTCATCCTCTAACTGGAAGAAAATGCATTCTGGAACAGGCTACCAGATGCTGACAGGACTATCAATTTCAAACATGCTGCCTGAGGCGAGGCATTTAATCTTTGCTTTATGGCCACATTTCACTGCCTGTACATCTGCCAAGAATGGAGCACAGAGTGAAAAATAAATGATGACAATACATGTGGTTAAATGTTCTTTAATGCGTTTCCACAGTGTAATTCTTATAGAACTAAAGGCTGTGTAAAAGATCAGTTTTTATCATGTTTAGCACACATACTGTATTGCTTATTGCCTATAGTAGATTTTGTTAGCATTTAATATTTTTTAGTAGCAAGACCATGGCCTGATTTACACATAATAACATTGTTGTGTATGTGAAAAAGATGTATATATTCCAAGTCAAACACTTGGTAAAATGTACAATACATGAAAATATTACAGAATCATTAAAGAAAAAACAAAACACAAACACACACATGTGTGGTTTAAATGTTATTTCAAGTCATAGCAGCAAACGATTAAGCTTATGATTGTAATTTAGAGTAACACATACAGTAGTATTGTACATTTTGCATAGAAACCAGAGTAAATTCGATCTTGTTTTGCTACTAATCAGGCACTCCCTTTATACAGTAGCTTGTTATAAATGCTGTGGAATTAGAAATAAGCTCAACCAACATTCTTCTGTATTTGTGGTTAATAAGGAAACCTTTGTGTCATGCACCTTTACAGTAAATCATCAGTCATAACACCTACTGAAATGCGATAGTTTCAGGATTTATACTGGCTGCTCAGAAGGCAAATTTCCACCAGTTGTCTAAAACAAATCACCTCACCTACAGAGTTTAAAGCATTTAAGGGTCACCTTTGACAATTTGTTTGCACAACCACACACTACACTATGAATACTTTGCAGGACAGACTGTATGAAAATGTGTGCCATCAAGAAATCAGTGTTTTGTTCAGTCTTGTTTGTGCAGAATGGTTTCAGTCCCTATAGTCACTATTTCAGGTTTCTCACTTTCTGTCTTTCACTCACTAAGGCAACAGTGGCTGCTAAATGCACACCGAGCTTACAGGTGCATCATGAAGAATCATATATAATGGGTTTTAATCTTATATAACCCTCAATGGATGGGTTTCTTACTACAGTACCTGTGCATTGGACAGGCTATAGTCTGTGGTAGTCATGCACTGAATGGACAACCCCTTTGCTGGGCTATTGTTTGCTTGACAGAATAAAAAAATAAAATAAAAATACTTTTAGAGATAATATCTAGTATGCCATACATTTTTCTTCATGCTAAAACCTTTATCAGCCTTCAGTTTCAAGTTAACTGCCTGGGGTCTATCATTAACTGTACCACCATAACTGCCAGAAATGGATATGCAGAAACTCGCCAGAGGTGTTTGCCTCAAAACAAGAAAGATATGTCTAGTTGCATAAGGAGGACATAGAGCATCCCAGGCTCCTTTGTACCATACATATGATTTTGATCTGACTGATCAACTCATAGTGTGATCGTAATTATTTTGGCAAAGTTTTACAAGCTTAAATCTACAATAATATGCTCAAAAACCATCGATTTGCCCTTGAAGCTGGAGGAGAAAATGAAATTCCTTCGATCGGTGGTCACTGCCGTAAAAGACCTGGGCGACTGCACATAAATGTCCTTGAACTTGTGAAAGGTTTTGATCTCCACATTCCAGAGGTAGATCTGTGTGAAAGAGTAGTCACTGCCGAGGGCAAGGTAATGCCTGCCCGTGATGGTGAAAGGTTGCAGGATCATTGCTCCTCGAGAGGGCAGAACCTGCACCTCAGTGAACTGCTTGTTGGTCCATTTGAGAACTTTGGAGTCACCGATGTAGCACGTTATGGCGAGATACAACACATCCTCCACCTGGAAAGATTTGACTGCCACCACATCATCGACATTTGGGATTTCACTATGAAATATGAACTTCAGGTTGCTTTTGTTCCACAGGTAGATGACGGGTGACTGAGAGCGACTGGCCAAAATAAGGTATGACTTCCTGTCCAATTCAACAAACTCAGCATCTGTATCGCGAAACCATTCGTGGAGAAACTGGTAGGAGTAGAACCCAGTTTCATTGTGGTCTGGTCGGTCACTCCACTTGTACAAAGTTGACCGTCCTGCCTTGGAGCTGTCTACAATCACAAAGTACCAGTCTCCATCAACTTGGAACACCTCAATGTCATTTGGCTTCGAGATGTTAAAGACTTCGATGGTTTGAAACTTGGTGAACTTGTTTTGTTGATTATCGAACTTGTAAATGTGGGAGCCACCAAAGAGCTGAGTGACAATGATCAACACATGGTTATCAATCAGGACTGACTTGCATCCAACAACAGACTTCCCTGTGAGGAAAATAAGTTGTCAGGGGTTATATAACACAGTAAATGACATTTGTATTTGATTACAAGCATACACTGAAATGATATTTTCATTCATTTGTGTTAAAAAAAAGTCTAACTACAAATTATTGTTATCAAATATTAGAAAAATACATACCCAACAATTTGTTAAGCCTTTTTATAGTGTTTGACTTCACTACCCTGTCTGTGGCTCTCAGCTCCAAACTCGCTGGCTCTTACTTAAGATGTAAATATATACATTTTTATTTGAAAGCCAAAATCATGTCATCACATAACTGGGCACAGTAGCTGGTATTTCTAGTGTGGCTAGATATACACCTGATGCTCTTAACAGCATTTTATAACAGTATTTGTTGGATCCACTCAAGTTATCCACTGAAGTTAAGCTGTCGCTTGGTGGAACACTGTGGCTCACTGATCAGTGGCTTCACAAAGGTCTATGACAAAAGGGAATATGCTGTGTCCAACTTTGTCTTTACAGGCAATAGGATCAGTTCATTGTTGGTTTCAGCTTTTTGATAGGATTTGATGGGGAAAATACATTTTACTATGAGCTTTATCTTTTAGAAAAGTGTCAGGGTGGGTTTTGTTGTTACCTGTTATATTATCAAATTTTCTGAAATTCATTTCGACGTGATCCCACTCCATCACCACACAGCTGTTAGAGTTTGGGGCAGCCATCGCCACATAGATGTCTTCTTTAAAGGAAAAGATGTCCGCTGACATGGACTGAATGGGAATGGACTGATGACGCACGAAGTCTACGAGATGCAAACAGAAACAGAAACAGTTATTCTCTTTACTAAGTGAAAGAGTTGACATTTAGGATCATCATGTATTTTGATAGCACATACATGCATATGGATGTTTGCAGAGCCACATGTTATCAGACCTGGTGGCCATTTGTTTGTTGTTATGTGCAAAATGTGTCCTGTTTAATCATTCAGTAGCTTTATTAACGTTGTTCATTCTTTTTACACTGTATTTTTCACTGTACCTTTGACCGTTGATAAATACCTTTTATAGTGCACTTGTGGTAGTGATGTGCAATACCACTTATTTCCTTTTTTGGTCCAATACCAAGTAAAATCCTTGCTGGTATTGTCAATGCCAATAATGATCCCGTTACTTTGTGTAATGAGGGAAAAGTGATGCGTCAGACTGATGGTGGAGAGGAGATAGGCTATACGGTTTATCTTGCTGCTTTTATTAACAACAAATGGTGCCATTCTGCTCATATATTGTAAAGAGACATCTCTGCAGTCCAGATACTAAACTGTTGGCAGTGGGATTACGTTCATATTACATACATACATAGATACAGGCAGCTTACATCACTCCATCCAGCAACCACATATGACATCCGCTCTGTTGCCGAGAGGCTCCTGGCTGAATTTTTTTCTTATTCTGCAGTATCTCACACATTTACAGAGCTGTAGTTTGCATATAACTATGATAGGCAGAAGGAGAGGTAGTTCCTGTCAACAGGGTATTATTTTGACTGTCCTGGATAACAGTTACTGTCTACTGTGTCCCCTATTGAAGATAAAATATAAATTTACCCCAAATGAGCTTACTTATCGTAGATATTGATGGGAATCAAACAAAGAAGAGGAAACGTTGGGATCAGAAGTATCAATATTTCAGGCTCGATCACTAACCTGTGGACATACATTCGCCTGGTGGGATAGGAAGGTCACTGAGCCGCTTGCCCTTCATGTCACTGGGGCCGGCGCAGAAGACATCCGATACTGTGGCATTTGTGTTTTTCAGCCATGTCATCAGCCACTTGTTCTCACAGCTGCACTGGAAAGCATTGCCTCGTAGATCCCTGACACATGACAGACAAATATGCAAAATGTTTTATGTTGATAAGAGGAAAAGAAGGTTGAGACGGCTCAAGAAAATGCAGCAAGTCAGTTATGGTGTGACAACACAAAGTACAGCTCAAATTTAATACAGGATGATAATCCAGATAATAGTGCTTCATAGTGGAGGACAAAACCTTCCAATTCCAAAATTTGAACTGTGCATGAAACAAGAATAAAATGGGTTTATTTTAATATTGAGGAGTACAGAGGCACAGACTTAATATTTCTGAGTGTCCACATTTTTCTTGTGGCATTTAATGTTGCCAAACACACAGCATAAGCTGGGTCGGCTTTATATTGGAGAGCAGTTTGAAAAAAAGAAGACATACACACACACACACTGATGACACTACAACTGCTTACTCACAGCTCCAGCAATGAATCCAAGTCAAAAAAGAGATCTCTGGGCAGAAATCTCATCTTGTTATTGGCAAGGGAGCTAAATCAGAGACACAAAGAAACACAAACAAAGCACATTTATGTCATTTCTGTGTTGTATCATTGGTTTTCCTCGGTAACAGCTAGATATTAGTGCTGTAGGTGCTGAATATTACAAATTTAATGTTTAAAACTCTTCATAGAGCAAATGACTTGAGGCTTACAGATGAGTTAAATCTCGAAGACCGCGAAAGGAGTTTTTGGTGATTGTTTCAATCTTGTTCCCTTCAATGAATCTGTTCAATGGATAGCAAAACAGTGTTGTCATTGTGGACAGGCAGAGAAAATAAAATAATCCATTTAACATATATCATGTCAGATGGTTATGTGCAGACAAATCTGTAATTATTTGGAAGATGTTTATAAACATATCTGTCTATTATTTTATGTGCTGCTCATTACAGGAGGTTATGGGCCAAGTTGGACAGTGGTGCTTAGTTTGGGAGGGGGGGGGGGGCTGGGA